CAAAAAACAAAATTTCCTTACAGGCCTTTTTTTCTGTATTTAAATAGAATAACAAAGTAACAACTGTCGAAGTTCTTCAGCTGATTAAACAAATTGCTTTACATTAAACGAAAAACCACTGCTACATTATACTACAGAAGCTTTGGCTCGCCTTTTGGAATTGAAACTATATTAAATTTCACGTTTTCCCTCCCTCAATAAACTAAATTAATTAGGCAAGATATAAATTAAATAGCAAAAAACAAAGTAGTTAGTTTCCCTTTAATTCCAACGGCTGTTACTTCTTGTTAATTACTGAATAACTATAAATATTTTTTGGAAATATATATATATATGTTAGGATCAAAGTCTATCAAGGACCTGTGCCAGCCGTGGTCTTTTTATGTTTTCAAAACGACCATTGTTGGCACTGGTCGTTTCACAATGTACAAAGTCCGCCTAGCTTCCCCCAATTATAAACAAGATGTGCTGCCATCAGGTACTGTATAATAAATAAAAATTTATTTTTCAAATTTAAATAAAATATTGTATAATTTATTAATTATTTATTATTTACTGTAGACAAACATGCTTTACTAGCTTAGCTGGTACGAACAGTAGTACAAATATTCAATTTTTTGGCAATCAAACATTTAAATAAAATTGTGTAATTAATAGTAATGAATTGGTAACATTATAGGAAAATTAAAATAATAAAAATAAACTCCTTTATGCTATGCCAAAAGCTGGGGAAAGACTAGGCGGACTAATATATATTATACGTTACCGGAAATGAATGAAATCCGTCATTGTATACATTTCCTAGGAAATCTATACATTTCCTAAATAGCAATCGGAAATGTATTGCAGGTAATACCAAATAGGCTTCCGCCCTAGGGGGGGGGGGCAAGTCAGATTTTTTTTGGTCAGAACGTCCGCGGCTATTTTGTCATACAGACTACATAAAGGCCCCTACATGAAAAATTAGGTATATGTAGTGCAGTGTGTAGGGCAAACAGGCGCAAATGATCCTGCTTTATAGGTAGTTAAATAATGTTTTTTTTTATGGCAATTGCACCATGTCTACTGCGGGGTTTATTCAGAAGTTAGCACCGTTTACACTTTGACTAGTGATTAGGCGAGTTCATACATCTTCTGCGAGATTTAGAGGGGGCAGTTGCCCTCCCCTGCTCCCCATTGGTACGCCCATGTGCCCCTGCCCGCCAGAGGGAGGCTGATATGTTAGATGTTAGAATAATGTGACAAGGTTATCTTTGTTTCAGCAAACACGATGTATACATTTCCTAGGATAAGTGTGTATTAAAAAATCTTTGAAATAATATTTTATAGATTTCCTAGGTAGCCTCGGAATTGTATACAATTCCTATATTTCATACATTTTAGGTAACATCTATATATACTTTTAGTTTAGATTCGATCAACAGTGTTCCAACTATTGTTTACCGATTTAAAAAGCGATTTCTAAAGGATCCTATATTCGTAATTTACGCTTACATTTCCAAAAGTTTTCCTACTTTGTTTTTCGTTTTTCAAATGAAAATTTTCGTAAAAGTCGTTACACCTGCAATTAACTTGCGTGTAACAATTTCTAGTTGTTATGTGTAGAGGTGATACTCAAATTTTTTGCTTTTCCACCTCTGATTTTTAACCGCAATCAGCCTGCGATGCGTGAATACCGGGGTGGTTTTTGGTTTAATGCTTCTACGTTATTGTCACGAACTGGTACCCAGATAGTAGTAGGTGGCGTGTTAGAGCTGCCATTGTATTTGTGAACAAACCATAAAGTTTTATCTTCGTTCGCTTCATATGAAATCAAGTAATTTATGAATTCCCTTTCGTTATTTTATTAGAACCAGTACAAAACGTACCTCTCAATTTTACGTTTAGTACGCAGTTATGCGACCGTTCGAATATCTACTGAGATTTGTTTTGTTTCCTTAGAATACTTGATCCGATTATATATTGCATAATATAACATTATGTGCAAATATTTCATTAAATACGTTAAAAAATAATTTTTGTACATAGATACAGACAGATGTCTGAAAAACACTGAGTAGTTTGTAATATAATCTTCATTAATATCTAGAGAAGCGTTTCTTGATCCTTTTGATAGGTGAAATTTTTCTACTTTTTCATGATGAAACCCATGATTTGCTTCAATAGTACGGTTTTAATTCAATGGATTATTTCGTAGAGCATTAATTTTTATTGCTTTCTCTTGAATGTTATACCTAAAGAAAAAACACGTAAGTTTCGAGAAACCCGACAGTGATCTTCACGGAACCCCGAGGTTTCGAAGAACACATTATAAAGACCTAGAGAATCATCCCTAGCTATTATATAAGATCGTTATTAAAAAAAAAAAAAATAATCCCGATGCTACAGATACTCCTTTAAGTGAATTTTTATATTGAAATGGAAAATTAGTGTTTATTTGTTTGAACACTAATCGATTGCTAAAGTTACGTACAAAACTGAAAAGGCTTCACAATTATTCGTATTTTTTTATTTAAAACTTGTATTTATTGTTGTTAAGTCTATTTCTTGTTTATTTCCTTTCAAAGCTTTTTGCATTAGACTACTTATTTCACTACTTATTTAAAACGGTTTTTGTTGTCTGTAAAAGTCATGTTTAAAAGTTATAAGGATTTCTGTGAACAGGGGTTTTGTTATTACTCAAACAATGATGGGGTTTTCACCATAATAAAATGTATTGGCGTTTTCTTAATTAATTAATTTATTTCTTTTTAAGTACTTTTAAAAGTAAAACTAAAATACTATTATGCAAGGGAAGAAACAGTAGGGAAAGAGCGAATATAAAGATAGGAGACGAAAAATTAGAAGAAGTGGCTGATTTCAGATACCTAGGAAGTCAGATAAGTCAGGATAGAAGGAGTAGGAGGGTTTATATCGTGGCTAGAAAAGGTTAGAAATGAAGAGGTATTGGAAAGAATAGGAGAACAGAGAACTCTATAGAAGTCAATAAAAAATAGGCGAGATNGCGGCATTATCCTCAATGTTCACGTTCATAGGGCGCATACACATCTGAACACGAACAAGTTGAGAACAAGGCCAGAAGGAACGTTTACTGTGGAGGAACGACCTAAGCATCACTAACTGCCTCAGTCCGAATAATTTAGTGTGAACGGCCTTGTTTGCGTCATTTTATTAACAAACATCATCACCTGTCATTATCTATTAAATGAATAAGACATGAAATAAAATGCAACATATGGTCGAATAAATTCCGCGTTCGTTGTCTCGGCCAGTTTCGCCAAAAAATGCAATTTTGTTATGTATATGTAATAAAATAACTTTATTCTTATTGATAGTTTGAGTATGCTATTACGCCTACACCGAAAAATGCTTAAAATAAATCAATAAGTTTGAAAATATTGCTAATATATAGTAAAATTTTTTACTACAAACAAAATTATCATTAATTTTACAGCCAGACCATTTGTTAGCAAATTGTTTTCGAGTGTCTTTCCATTGTTTGACACAGGAGTCGAACGAAAATTATTACACTGACTTTAATCGTAATTTTGTTTGCAATGGCAAGAAATCTTGCAATAGTATATTTCTATTTGATCAAAAATAGACAAAATCGTTTCTTCAATACCGGTAAAATGATCAGTTCTCGTAATGTAGCATAAGAAAGTTTGTTAAGTACTTAATAAAGCGCAGTTACGTGGTTTATATTTGTTCAGCTTCTTAAACATTCAGATGACTCAAAATTGAAAAACAGCATTAAAGTTTACGCTCTCCCATGAATAAAAGTAATTCTCAGGCAGGTTGGCTCTTATTTTATTTTCTTAGGAATATATCGCCCAAGAGTACGTTAAACGAACGCACAAAGTTAGACAAACGACAGTGTTATTACTACTTGGTAATAGGGTTTTGCATCTTCTTGAAAACTATAAAAATGCTCGGAAAGTCGGTACGTTATGTACTTTCGCTATTATAACTTCGGAAATGTGATACCCACTGGAAAAAGGAAAAGATGGAGAGGCGTAATTATATTGGAAGAAAGAAACTGACGGAGAAACAAAACAGTAGAGAAAGGCAGGCGATCTTTACAAAGCATGCTGGAAATAAAAGAAACTAGGTCAGAATTGCTTTTGAATATAATCGTCATTAATAAACGTTGCGCAAAAATAAAACCGGAACGAAAACTATAAGAATTTCTATCTTGGTCTAACTTTTAAAGATTAGACTGTAGAAGTACATAAACAGGTAGTAACTTTTAATGTTTTCTTGTAGATTATATACACTTGATGTCTGATGAGTTCGTGTTATCCGTTGAAGTTTTGTTAACTTTCACGCTTCAGGCAGGTGGGTTCTAAGTTTTCTTTCGGTATGCTATCGCGTGTTTCATAAAATTTTGATTTTCCATGCAGAAAGTAAAAACAAATGAACCATGCTAGAATGGCTCGGAAGAAAAATTAGAGCCCAGTATTTTAAACTATAATTTGTTACCTTCCAAACAATCCAGAGATAATATATCGGCTTACATTTCATTTAGATTAAAAAGTAGCGGTGACAGTCTGCATTCCTGTCTGACTCCCCTCCTAATATTTACTTCTCTACATTGCAGCCCCAGCTCTATAACTGCCTGTTGCTCTTTATGTCTTTATTCAAACTAAGTACCACTCTTCTATCTCTGTTACTCATCCCTACATTTTTAAGTATATTTAACATTTTGTCCCATGTAACACCGTCAAAAGCTTTTTCTAAATTTACAAATCCTATCTTTCCTTTTTCTATCGTTTTCTCTCTTGTTACCCGTAAAGCTAGAATGACCTCCCGCGTTCCTCTATTTCTTCTACTATATATGTAATAAGCTGATGAAAAATAAATCGGATTATTCTCATATTTTTCACATTTTGCACATCTCAAAATTCAAAAGCACTTCTTCCTTCTGAATGCTATTTTAGTTTGGTTGGTATTCAAAAAATAAAATATTCATTTTCATCATAATAAAAATGTCAGCATACCAAATACAAGCATGCTCTTCGTCCGGCTGTCTTCATCGTTGAATGAGGAAACTGAACAAGTGTAATCACCAGATAATTCGGGAGCTGGTTTCGTTATGTGTAGTGCCCTGTGTTTACTATTCTGATTCTGACTGGCGGAATATTCTAAATTCAGTCGTCCCTTCAAAATTCCTGCAAGAGAACAATTTAATATAATGGGATACCTTATTGGGAGACACAATTTTAAATTATTTTACTAACGAAAATGTATTTCACAGCACAACTGGACATAGAGCGGTGATATAAATGCATTAAGTAAGAAGTGAAGTACACAATTCCTTTAAGGATTCTTTTATAGAATTTTAGGGCATGTAAATCATATAATAGCTTTATCTCCAAATACATTTTCCTTACTGAAATAATCATCTTTAGTATTGCATCTCTCTAAGAGGAAACCTTTTGTTAAAACGGATAAACAATTTGTTTTAGTACTGAAAGAAGTAATTCAAAGTTGGTTTTTTTTAAGAATTATGGAAAATATTATTGTTCAATTTTGGAAATTAGGGTAATTGTAATCCATGAGATTTAAATTTTTTATTTATGAAAATTTGAATTATATTCTCAACACGAATAGGTATGAATATGTCATTCGCAGTCGTCGTTTTTGATTAACTGCAATTGAATAATCATCCTGCTTAAATTATGCCAGTATTGATTGAAACAGAACGCGTAAATGTACACATAACGCCGACTCTACGTTTATTGGGGTCAAGGTGTACGTTTCAGCGTACTTGTTGTCACGCAGAGGTCCTTAAACGTACTTAAAGCTTAGTCTTCATGAGTGCATTTTATGCATCAAATAAAAGTGCATATATACCATGTGCAAGGAGGTCGGAATAATGCTACGTTGAAATGAAACAAAATAATTTTCTGGTTGGTAATATACACAGTACTGCATATTATTATCAAAACTAATTCTCTAATGGTTTTTGTAAATTGAAGAGATATCACTTTAATGCAAGTTTGTCTTTCGAGTTGGCATTCTTATTAAAAAAGCATTTTCTTTCTTTTACCTAATGCTTGGGGTTTCTTATTCGTTATCCACTGATAAATAGGCGTTCGTCCGTTATTGAAAAACCATTTCACCACCAGTCCATCATCCTTTAGGTCGTCCCACGTATAATCACAGTCTAAGACCACCGGGCTGCCGAATTCTGTGATTTCCGGTACTTGCAAGTTTCTTATCTTTAAACTAGCCGCAGTTTTGAGCGTTCCTGTAACAAAATGTTCGATTATTATGTTTATAATTAAAAATGTATTTGTTACCAAACCAGTTTGTAGGCAAAAGGTTCGCGTTTTTACAAGTTAATGGCTGAAATAAAATTTTTATAGGTATGTTTAAAATTCGTTAGGTGGCGTCCAGCATCGATGAGTAAGGCCACTTTCACACAGCGCGATAACAACACGATTTACTGCATGCAGTAGTGCTAACCGCGATTTAACATGTCTTTCTCAAAGAAAAAGCATTCAATTACGAAATAGTCGATTTAATAGAATTACTGTTTTTCGCTCCATAATTAGATATATACCATTAAACCAGAGAACCCTGCGAGGACAGGTAGGCTCGCATTTCAATTTGAAACGTTGTCGAAACAATATTCAGTCGTATTGGGATGTGACATGTGGGTGCGGCCTAATCAAGATGGCTGTCCATACATTGCATCAGTATTATAGAAAGCATTGCATATTGTGATTTTTAATTTTTCTAATGATAAATTTAGAAGCAATTTTTGATTGGGCTAATGCAAATGCAAGCTCAAGAAGTGTTGTGGAAGCCGAAAAACTTTTGAAAGCTGGCCACATAATAAAATGTGGAGAAAATGTTGATAAAACAAGTGATATCGGTGAGGTTACCTTAACGAGTTATTGCATCAAATCTTCGGATTTAAAAGGAAATCCAAATGAAATCGATGGAAAAATTAAAAACAATCAAATAATTTTTATGAAATGTTCTTGCAAAGCAGGACTAGGAGAAAAGTGCAAGCATATATTGCCACTTTACTATACTGTAATAAGTATGTCCATAACTTGTGAAAGCGGCGTTCCGATACGATACGACAAATCGCATGCAGTAAATCGTATCGTTATCGCCCTGTGTGAAAGTGGCCTAACAGTCTGTGCAGCATTCGTTTTGTAATTATCATGTAATAGGTGATTCGTAAGTTTAATGTAAATATTAAATTGAGCATTTATGAAACCGGAATTTGTTTTCAAAATTTCTCGGATATGCAAATATGGAGTATTATAATCCTGTTAACAGATCCCTATTCTGTTGGAACTATCTATGGCGTGCTGACGGGGTCAAATGATATCGAAATCGCAATCCACATTTAACGGTTACCATACACCATGAACTTTTTGCTACTGTTAAAAACTCTTTACAATTTTTTGTTCTTACAGGTAACTAATGCTTAGCATAATTATCTTTTTCTTAATCTAAACACTGACAGTAGCTCGAACATATTTCTCCATTTCTTGTCATAATGTGTAGGGTGTTGTTCGTTGTGCAGCGATTTTAATATCTAATTTAGATGGGATCACGCGAACGGTGCAATTTATGAATATGGATAACGAGAATGACCGCCCAGTGTGCGCGCTACGTCCTGGAAAGCCGAAATAATAACGTTGACATATTCATTTGGGGACAACCGCCCGTCTGCTAGTACGTGTGCAAGTACGTACAAGGGTTACGTGTGTCTGAGTAGGTGCGCGTACAACACCTACTGCGATATTATTCAACGGGGAAGCGGCGGCGTTAACGAATGACGCGACGCACGCGAAACGATAAGACACAATTTATTAAAACGAGCGTCATAAATAAAAAATATGACACAAAAATAAATTTACTATCCTTGACATTAAATAGAGAACGTGATAATTTCGATTTGAACTCGCTAGCGTATCCTCTCGTACGTGAACCGGATGATACTTCTGGGATAAAATAATCACCTACCCGTAACTTTACGAGTAGGTATTTAGTGTGTTTCGTAATTAGAGAATTTTTGTGATAGGAATTAGGAATTACACAGCTGGGCTCTTGCCATATCCAAAGAATACAATTCAGACTTATAGATAAAATCTTACTGGTTTTGAGAAATTTGCACTCTTATAGTTTTTGAAAATATCTAAGTAAAATAATTCGAAGTTGTCTGTATTCTGTCGAAACTGCCAGACGCGGATCGCGATTTCTACCTTTTTGGATCTCATCAGCTCGTCGCAGGCAGCTCCGACAGAACACAGACCAACTTTTACCTGCTGTCTTAACAGTGCGTTTTAGAAAATACTACAAATGGCGCAGTAAACGCCATCTGTAGCACGATGCTACATTTTAGGATTACGTATGCTCCAACAAGGTCCGCATGTGTGGATATCTACTTGCTGAAAACGANCGCCGGGATTCGTTTTCAGCAAGTAGATATCCACACAAGTGGACCTTGTTGGAGCATACGTAATCCTAAAATGTAGCATCGTGCTACAGATGGCGTTTACTGCGCCATTTGTAGTATTTTCTAAAATATCTAAGTAAGTTCTACAAAATGTTTGTTTTGTGATTATTACGGCTAATTTTTGGCTTTCACGGCCAATTTGCGAAATATTCACAGCAAGTTTCAACCCCGGCTATAATCTCACTCGATGTAGCGGTTGTCGGGCCATCGGAATGGAAAAAAGATTTTTTAAAAAAAAAAAATTCCAGCTCGCTTTTTAGTAGTCTGCATCGCCGCGGTTTTGCAAAATGGTTTTGTGGTTTCCCGGGTCGCACCTAATTTTTAGCTTTCACAGATAATTTGGGGCTATTGTTAGTTTATATCTTTTCCTGATAATTTTGTCATGTCAATTTCAATGAGGCGATAGGTAATTACGAAGAAATAGAATTCGTAGTATGAAACCCAGTGGGGAAAATTCAATAGATAATATAATCATAATTTTCACCATGTAGTGGGTACCTATACAACATAAACATTTAACATCAGATCATAATTTCTATTTAATTGGAGAGCATCAGTTATTAAACAAAACGTCGTTGATTATGCAAACAGAATTGGTTTTATTTGTAGATAAATAATTTTTTATCATTATTCAGTTTTATTCCCAGAACCATTAAAATAATGTAGTATTCCATTTGATGTAGTTAACCCAAATACGTAAACAGAATTCGCTAAAATTGTTTAGTTGAGATTCGTAAGTCAACTAGATGTTACCACTTAGTTATTAAGAAATAATTGGTCGCAGAAACAATTTCGAGAAAATTGACGCCAGCTTATCTTTAAGTGAGGAAAAATTTAAGATTTAAAGAGGATAACAACTCGATAATAAAGGCGGCAACATCTTAAATTGAAATAAAATTATAATGCATTATTGTAATATGAACATGATGAAATTGCATATTAATCCACTATCAAGTAACTAACCATGGCATAGGATTTCATATATTTAATNAAGCATACTGAGCGACACATACATGACCGCGTAACAAAAGGATTTCGATAGCGAGATATATTATATTTTTATAGGGTTAAATTATATGCATTAGTGAATCAAGTTTTTGAATTAACTACAAATAACATCAAATTAATTAGGAACAATTGTTGCTGCTCATTCTCGCGGGAATCGAACCCGAGCCCCTGGTTTTTACGCAACAGTCCTGAGAGTATGGGTCGCAAAACCGTCGAACCAATGTATAATCATTATTAGTAATGAGACATTTGCCCTCATTAATTTGAGGTTGTTTGTAGTGCGTAAATAAAAAATCGAAAAAATGATTTCAAATTAATATATGATGAAATCAATTAAAATTAATCATCAAACAGAAAGAATTTTGTAATTTTATTGTTGAATAATTTCCAAAAAATCTATTGCAAATGCATTACCTCGCCTGACCATTGTATTTAGAAATTGGAATGTTTTGTAAAGGCAACTAACTGTGAGAGATAAACAGATTAACATAATTGTAAACCAGCAATTGTTACAGCAATTAAGTTAAATTAATCCATCTCTAAAATAGCTTTTCCATTTGTATTCGGAAATTTCCTGTTTCGTCGAATACCTGCATAGCTTAATAATATTGGTATTGCCTATTTCCCGAATGATTGCGCGTGTCTGGAACAGGCGCTCAGCTAATCTTTCTGTAAAGACAGTTTCAATTTTATAATTTACTTACTTTGACTATCTTACGATTAGTTTATTAGGTATGAGAATTTCTGGACAGAAAGGGTTAAGTACCGCGATTCTTGCGGCATTATCCTCAATGTTCACGTTCATAGGGCGCATACACATCTGAACACGAACAAGTTGAGAACAAGGCCAGAAGGAACGTTTACTGTGGAGGAACGACCTAAGCATCACTAACTGCCTCAGTCCGAATAATTTAGTGTGAACGGCCTTGTTTGCGTCATTTTATTAACAAACATCATCACCTGTCATTATCTATTAAATGAATAAGACATGAAATAAAATGCAACATATGGTCGAATAAATTCCGCGTTCGTTGTCTCGGCCAGTTTCGCCAAAAAATGCAATTTTGTTATGTATATGTAATAAAATAACTTTATTCTTATTGATAGGAATTTATAAACTTTAGTGTGTTAAAAGCCTTCGAAATATGGTGTTATAGGCTATAGACGAATGATGAGGATAAGGTGGGTAGAAAAGGTTTGAAATGAAGAGATATTAGAAAGAATAGGAGAACAGAGGACTCAATAAAAAATAGGCGAGATAGGTTAGCAGGACACCATCTCAGGCATGAAGGTCTAGTCAGAGACATATTAGAGGCAGAACCGGGAGTTTGGAGGAGTAGAGGTAGACCTAGGTTAGATTACTGTTCGCAAATAGTTAAGGATGTGGGTTGTTCTAGTTTTAGGGAAATGCGAAGTTTAGCTCAGAATAGGAGAGTGGAGGTACGTGTCCAACCAGTCTTAGAACTGACGACCTTATGAAGATGATGATGAGTGTATTTAAGATCAAAAAAGCTGTTGATATTTTAATTTATTTTGTTGATATTGGAATTAACGTGATTCGATGAAGTTGACGAAGCTGATCACAGCTAAAATAAGCAAAAAGCATTAATTACAAGTTTCCATTTTTAAAGCTGAATTACTTAATGATACCTACCTGCACCTAATGCCAATTTGATAATAAAAATAAACAAACACCTATTTATAAGTGTAGTAGGTGCAACTTTATCTGATACCTCGTTTAAATGATTTCATTTTCATGT